CACGCTCACACACAAGTGCTACTAGGTAGTCGGCACATTAAATTGAATTTATTTACAAAATTCAGCAGCTGACAGCATTTTAATTGTGCACATCAATTCAAAGTCACTCTGCTGTGCACCGTATTAGCTACTTAGTTACTGCTGCACCTGCTGCCTCACTTTCCAGCCATCCATGCGCGCGTCCTTCGTTGTCGGTGTGGCAGCCACACTGCGTGCAGCCTTGATTACTTAATTAAATGCCAACAATCACGGTGCATTAAGTCGACGAGACGAGTCGCGTCGCATCGCATCGCATCGCTGTGGAGTAGGGCACCTTTGAGTAGGGCGTGTGGCAGCTAAACAATACAAAAACAACAACAGCACTAGCTATGAAAATAACAAATAATGCCTAAAATTGCACATTGGCTTTGGTGCTGGAAATAAGTAAGTAAGCATTTGAACACCGGCTACAACAGCAACATCAGCAGTGACTACAGCGCTGTGGCACCTTGTTGGCATTGTCGACGGCGTGGTGTGGCGGTGTGCACAGCGACTTTATGTACATATGTATGTATGTATGTATGTAGGTATTTATATGCACAACAACCGTATCAACTTTAATCAATCAGCAACAAAACACCGCGCATCGTATGCCACACGCTGCCAACAACAACAACACATATCGCAACACAAAGCATCAAATAACAATTGCTGCCACGAGGCATAGTTGCAACTATGGGCGGTGCATAATAGAGCAGAACGGCATGGTTATATGTTTGTGTGCGCATACATACTTATGTATGTATGTATGTTTATAAGTGTATGGTGGAGTGCAATTTTTTCCACAAATGTGCGTGTGTATGCGCTCGCGTTGCGTGGGTAACTGGATATCGCCTGGCAGCCACACCAGATCACCATTGTTGCCAACAATAAATTATGCCACAACAAGCCAGCAATTGCAGCGATTTCACAGCACTTACGGCTGTAGCAGCAAAAAAAAAAAAAACAAAAACAATAGCAGTAAAAAAACGCCTACACCAATAAAAACAATAACGTGGTTATATGTGGCAGGCATGCAGCCATAATGCCGCCAACTGCAACTAGTTGCCACCAACCAGCCAGTATGTGGCATGCGGCATGCGGTATGCGGTATGTGGCAAACTGCTGTGAAATGCGAGTATCACGCCGCAGCCATAAAAAGTTCAAAGCAGTCAAAATGTTACGCCAACACATTGGCACTTATGTTACCAGCTCGGTGGCGGTAACAGTAAAGGTGGCAACGCGGGCGCCAGCGCCGACCGACACCAAGACCGAGACCCTCGGCTAGAGCGGGTGTTGCTGTTTGCCGCATAACGATAGTACCAACTAATGTTTATAAGCTTGCCACAAAACGACATAGTAACTATGTATGTATATATATATATATATTTACCTAGTACTTATTATTGTTATGTTTATTTTGGTTGTTGTTGCACACTGCCATTGAATTTGTTGTACTCTTTTCTTTTGGCTGTTGGCAGTAGGTGTATGCTGCAACAAGCCATTTAGCAACATTATTTTGCATTGCACTCAACTTGAGTGCAGTGAAGTTTGCTTGCATGTCTCTTCGTTCGGGCGTGTGTGCATGTATGTATGTATGTATGTGGATTGCCATGGAAAATTGAAATGAATCGGTTTAAATTCTATAGCAATTTTAACGTATTCATTTGCTCAGTGAATGTGGCATGCAACGTGCGCTCCTTACACACACACACACACACACGCACACTCACTATTTTCCTGCTTGTTCCTCACTGCATTTTCCGTCACACTGCACACGTCTGCTCGCATTCACATAATCACCACTCCAGCCAGGAGCTGAAAACCTCAACTGCTTAGCTGCTACTACAACAACAACAACTACAACTACTACTACCACTACTAAGTAACTTCTTATTCACTTCACTGCAGTTTGCTTCAAAGTGGGTTAAGATCATTAAAATTCGTTGCAATTTCAAGCATTCAACATTTCGTTTGTTGTTCTTGTTTTTGCTGTCGTATTTATAAGTAGTTGCTGCTTAGTATGTTGGTGAATGTTGCAACAATGAAATACATACCAGCGCGCCAGGCTGGGTAGCGCTGGTTGTCGGCGAGGGGTATAGTGTGCTCACTTAAGTATGCACTCATTAAACTCAACGAGAATTCACTGCTTCACTGTCAGTTTGGCAAATTAGCTACGTAATGGTCGCATCTTAAAGCCACTTGTAATATTTCTGTACGTAGGTGCGTATACTTACATACATACATACATTCCAGCGAATACATTATAACTATGTAACTATTCTTCAATGCAAGTGGAAATACGAGAGTGGAAGCCAAACATTGGCATTGGGCATGATTTTTTTTACTTACTGAGTTCTTCAAAATATGTACTATGTTTTAGTGAAATTGGTGTAGTAAAGTAAATAAAATTGAGTTTCTCGACGTGATTAAGCTCCTTACTAAACAAGGACATATTTGAAAAAGGTGGACTCTTTTCCAGTAAATTAGGTTAAGCTGAAGTGACTGCCTTCATACAGTAAGAGAGACGCTAAGACTCAGAGAACCCGTTGTGGTAGATACCGTTTCAGGCGCTCATTTCGTATTCGTCCACCCACCTGGAAATACATTCAACCAATATTTTAAGCTAATGATGATATGGGCGTCTTCACAGCTTTAGTGATCTATGCTTTCAATTTCTTTCTCAGCACGGCTGCTGCGGCAGAGGTCAATGGCTGAAAGGCTCATTCCAGTAGCACGTTTTTCTATTTAGCAGTAACTGGTTACAAAACCCGGTTATAAACCAATCAAAAAACCGGCTACCTACCTAATCTCAGTGCATTCTGGACGAATGTGTGGCTCCTTTTCGATATCGAAAGAAATTGGTGGAGTGCGGATTTCACAGATCTGATCTTATAAGGCAAGAGACCTACAGTTTAACGCGGACCTCGAACCGCGATTTTATTTTAATAAGAAACCGCTTTCCATGGCAAAAATACACTCGGAGGTTTGCCATTGCCTGCCGAGTGGCGACCGCTGTTAGAAATAATTTTCCGTTTATTTTGTTTTTGTTGTTAGTCGGAAACTGGTCTCGATCCCAGGCCCAGCGCACTTCTAACCACTACAGCACAGCGGCCGCCTTATATATTACTGTTAGATATAAAGCGTAACGCATTTTTTAATCTGGGGAAATTATCTCTTAGCTAACTGCTAGAAGGAGCCTTGGAACAGGAACATAGAGGCTCGGTTCTTCGGTAAAACAAGGGAAGTGAGTATTTACTAGAATCAATGGAACTATCGACAGTATTGATGCAATTAAATTTTGGCCACCGCCAATGTTTCTTTCGCCACTATCGACCGTTTTTCACTCCTCAATCACCCCAATTTTGTTCAAATTTTGTTTTAATTTGAATAGATCGAGAATATCGATGGTTGTGCACATCCATTCTTTTCCGGCTCTACTAGAATCCGAGATGACGTCTACTCGCCATTTGGCTTCTGGATGTAATTGAGAGAAAGTGGATACTTGATAAAACCTTTAGTAAACAATAAACTAGTGTGCCCCAATATTATCGCAGAAATTTTTCCAGGAGATCCTCTGAGCGGTTCCTCCTTAAAAATCATTGATTTATATATAAGTGACATAGTAGTATACTGAACCAAGTTAGAGAGTTAATTGAAGATGATGAAATCTCAGGACGCTCTGTTCGGGCAGATTTCTTCAGAAATTGTTGTAAAAGTAAAAAACAAAAACAATTTGCTGAAATTGTTTGGCATCTTCTAAAATCGTTATGAACATACTGCATAATCATCTGGTTTTTAGGTAGATATTTAGTTACCGCAAAGACTACCAAACTAAAGTTTCCATGTCGGTTTAGAAACCTTCAAAGTTATCTTTCCAAACGCATAGGTAACTTTGTTGTCGCTCATTCCTTTAGTATCTAAGTTTTAATTGGTAAGAAGTAGTGCTGAAAAATCATCGATTATATTTTACTTTGTACTCATATATAACGGGTGATTTTTTTGAGGTTAGGATTTTCATGCATTAGTATTTGACAGATCACGTGGGATTTCAGACATGGTGTCAAAGAGAAAGATGCTCAGTATGCTTTGACATTTCATCATGAATAGACTTACTAACGAGCAACGCTTGCAAATCATTGAATTTTATTACCAAAATCAGTGTTCGGTTCGCTTTACGTCCGATTTATGGTCTACATAATCGACCAAGTGAGCAAACAATTAATGCGATTGTGACCAAGTTTCGCACTCAGTTTACTTTATTGGACATTAAACCAACCACACGAATGCGTACAGTGCGTACAGAAGAGAATATTGCGTCTGTTTCTGAGAGTGTTGCTGAAGACCGTGAAATGTCGATTCGTCGCCGTTCGCAGCAATTGGGTTTGCGAAACACATTTCGAACCGAACACTGATTTTGGTAATAAAATTCAATGATTTGCAAGCGTTGCTCGTTAGTAAGTCTATTCATGATGAAATGTCAAAGCATACTGAGCATCTTTCTCTTTGACACCATGTCTAAAATCCCACGTGATCTGTCAAATACTAATGCATGAAAATCCTAACCTCAAAAAAATCACCCGTTATAAAGTTCATTTTCCATTCATGTTAACCGCCATTGTTGCTCGATCCAGTATCTCCATATTTGCATAGTATTTTTACAAGCTCTTGAGAAGTCTTTGACTATTTGATCGCCCACCGTATGTAGACTTCCACCTACACGAAGTTCTTTTTTTAGGAATGCTGGTAGTATAAAATATTTAGTGACTAATTTGGACATTGTAAGATATCTGTATCTGGAGTGAAAATTCACCTTAATATCAAATAGAATTTCGACGAAAATACATATAAAAAAATACAAGAAAATTTTCTTTTATAAAAATAAGAAAAGTGCTATCTTAAATTAGCAAGTTTTATATTTCTCTTAAGACATATATACATATCCAAATCATTAAAATCTTTTATTCTCTTCCTCTTTTCAGATTCAACAACATAGCGCACAGCTCCAAAATGTGGAGCCCGCAAAAAGGTCCTACACGATTGTGGGACCTTAGGTTTAGTCATATATTTATTTTACCTTTAATGGTGAGTACAACAACAAATCCCTAACTCTTTTAAGTTAATTAAGAAATCGTACCACTAAAGCTCATTTTGTATCTTAACTCAATGGAATATTGTAATATTCTGAAAATTCAGTCAAGACCATTATTTTATCTAATCCCAGCGTTGCCAGACTAACTATCATAACTCAGACTTGCCTATTTACCAGGATAGTCGCATCTACTTACAAATAGTAACTGTGGAGCGATTCTGTTGATTCGACTGCGGATTTTTATGCAGAAAACGAACGCTACAAATATGTACCACATAACTATAAACAAAATGTAAAAAATATATAAAAAATTTTTGCATTATTCTTATAGTTAAGTGGTACATATTTTTAGGCTTCGATGATAATATCTTATCAGAAACTATAAAAGTATTTGTATGGCATACTGAGGGGGATATATGTATGTAGTACTGTGACTGCCCCAAGTATGACATTCTGGCAGCAATATGTATTTCCTTGCCTTTTCTCCCAAGTGCCTCCAGTTAAAAAAGAACTTCCTCTATGCCAAGAAAAGTGAGATGGATCAGAAAGTAATCGAAAAATCAAAAAAAAATGTAAAACATTGTTGGAGTTCTACCATTTTTAGTATAATTATGTTGGCTTGACAACTTTAACGCCATGGTGGACACAGAAGCCATATTTGGGCCAATAGCAGGAAAATTCAGCCTTTATAAACAGAAACCAGAAACAGTATCTGATGGATACCAACTGAGTTGTTTAAAGCCGTGGGAGGCTTTTTAGAATGAAGTTGAGCACAACCTTGAACTCCAAGTTGGGAAGACGCTCTTAGCGACATTGCAAACCAAACGAGGTTTTAGACAGGGCAACACACTTTCGTGTGACTTATTCAAGCTCATGTTAGAAGGGCGTAATGCGAGCTACGCATCTGAATCGCAGTGGCGCTGCACATACATACATATACAGTGACGAGCAAAACTGTAACATGATGTAACACTTTTTATTTCAGCCACCGCTATCTTTCAAAGTTCTAACGACTTTCATACTTTTGTTGTATATTCTTATTGGTACACCCCTACTCCCGCTCTCATAACGATTTGAAGTCAATCCAACAACAATAAAAAAACCTGGAGACNCGATGCTCCTGGCATATGCAGAGGACATTAACATCATTGGCCTCAATACCAGGGCCGTGTGCGCAGCATTTTCCTGCTTAGAGAAGGAGGCAGAAGAGGTCGGTGTAGTCGTGAACGAGGATAAGACAAAGTATTTTGGGATACGCATCACTGTTGGCAGTTAGAACTTTGTCTATCTATGATCCACCATAAACACCGTCAATGGTAGCAAAAATCATCTAACAAATGCTACTGCGGGATTCGGTAGACAATTGAAAGGCCAGCGTCTTTTCTCGACGGACAAAAAGCACGCTCCAACAATCTCCCAGCATGCCTAGGCTTTTGTGTGGCACAGAAATGTGGACGAAGTCGGCCAAGAAAAGAACACCTTGATAACTGTAGATAGAACTACCTATGTCCCGTTTAACGTGAGCGACAAGAAGAAGTGAACGAGCTTTTTAACGGTATTGGCAAAGGTGGGAGATAGTTGGCGAAATTGTTTGGTCTAAGCTCAAATGGACAAAAGTCTCTAGCTCCAAATAACAATAAGAAGAAGAAGAATAACTTAATAAAAGATATGAATAAAATCCAGAAATGCAGAAGTTTAGATCTCAGAAATTCGCAAGGAGTCTCAGCAATTTTAATTTTTTTCCGAGCCCCTATTGAGCAATTATAAAAATCAACGTTATTAAATAAGCCTCCAGGAGATGTGTATGTGAAAATATGTAAGAGCATATACTATTGCCTCAGAAGCAACAAAGGAATATGTAGGCAAAGCGTGTAGTTCAACTAATTGGTAGACATGCTGGCACCACTTAGTCTTCTCGCAACAATTTTATGGTAATAAGTTTGGTGGGATTCCACAAAATACAATCGCGACGTGACAACACCAATACAAACGCATATACCTAGGCGCGTTTTAGCATTAATATATTGTATCTACTAGAATGTAGTACTAACAGTATATCTAAATAAACTAAATAATTTCTACATATATGTATGTATGTATGTATGTGAGCATGGCACCAAAGTAGGCAAAATATTGCAGCGACATAACATAATAACAATATATTGCTACTTTTACTACTAAACACTCACTCACACACACACACACACACACAAACACAAATACACTTCCAATGCGAAAGTCCCCGAAGAACAGCTGAAGTAAATATCTTTACAACCAGCCGAAATGCAACCAGCCAGCCAGCCATCCAGCCAGCTAGCCAGCCAACCGACCGACCAACTAGGCATTTGCATGCAAACTCCAGCCACTCTTCAGGTTCAATTAAGCTAACGCAGTTGAAAATCCAGCAAATGATTGGCTTAATTCAGCCACCGCTAGCTGGCATTGATTGCTGCTACTACCGGCGACAATAAAGTCTGTCTGCTCTATTCGTTGTGTGTTGTTATTGTTGTTATTGCCAATGCGGTGCTCCATGAGTTGTATGTATGACAGCAATGAAGTGTGGAGCAGTGGCAGTGGCAGTGGCTTTGAAATGGCTGCAGCCTAACTGACTGGCTTGCTGGCTGGCTAGCTTGGTGACTGACTGACTGACTGGCTGACTTGTTGGTGCATTGGCCGGCACGATCCACCATTCATTGCCAACACATTTGTTGCCTGGATGTGCCTACTATGAGCCTTCCTTGCATCTGCGCAACGGAGTACAGAGTACATGGAATGTGTACGAGTGCGTGTGTTTACATACATATCCAGTATTTCCTGCTGCCAACATTTAAGTTGACATGAAATTGGCCAACATGCAAAGTGGCCAAGGCAAGTGTGTCGAGTATGTTAATTTGGCAATTTCATTATTTAGTTGCTCGTTCGCGCTCTCTCGCCCAACAACTTTGCGTCAACTATGCATTTACTGTTGATTTTGTTGTTTCTGCTGTTGTTGTTGCCTGGTGTTTTATTTGCTTTGCTTTGCTTTGCTTTTTTGGTTGCACAAATGCATGTTGCAGCAGCTGTGGCTGCATGCCATTTGCCATATGTGGATTTATTGCCGCTGCGTGTGCGCAAATATGCGAGTGAATGAGGCAGGAAAGAGCTTCATTGTAGCGAGCAGGAGGATAACGCTGTAAATCTATGCAATTGTGTTTTATTTCTTTATTTTTTATTTTTATTTTTTTGGTAATCTAAAATATTTATATATCTCTATTGAGCATTTCACGGGAGTTAATAATTCCATAGATAACTGAGAAATCGTTGTGGTCTGACCTTAATCTACATATCCCGTATTTAAGCCATTATGAACTCATTTCGCTTAGCTCCTATGTTTAGCCATTTGCAAAAGCCACAAATACGCCCTTTTCTTCGCATAGAAACAAACCGAACATCAAAACAACCAGCTTCGTTAAGAGGCTAAGAACTCATCAACAAATTTTAACCATTAAGTAGCTCTAACCTTTTTTGTCGTTCAGCGAAAAATTAATGTTATTGCTTTTAAAGCTTGAAAAAATAAAGTTTCAGCGCCAGCACTGTGTGTGGGTGTGCAAGTATACACAAGGCGAGTCCTGCGTATGCAGTCCGAAAGATGATTAATTTACACCATGTTAACTAATATAAACACACAAAACACCAACGCCTGACACGTATTTGAATAACTGGAGCAATGCACTGATGTCCGACGGCAGAGCTGACATTTTCAAGACAAAAAGTCGACTAACATTTTACGCTTTTCAATTAACAATTTTCTTTCAATAAATATTGGATTTTTTTACATATATAATATATGAATTCCAATTCCGGCCGCTGTCGTGTAGTGGTAAGCAGTGCGCGCTTCCACTCCGCAACGCTTGGGTTTAAGCCCTGGTCAAAGCAACATCGCAAAAATAGGAATATAGGAAAAATGGTTTTTCTTATCAGCGGTCGTCCCTCGGCAGGCAATGGCAAACCTCCGAGTGTATTTCTGCCATGAAAAACAGCTTCTCATAAAAATACAATCGCCGTTCGGAGTCGGCGTAAAACTGTAGGTCCCTCCGCTTTGTGTGACAACATCAAGGCGCTAATATATTATTATTATTATATGAATTCCAAAATAGTTGACGAAACCCTACCGCGTTAATAACAATAATATTATCGTGAACAACTGTCACTATCCGAATAATTTCGGTTAGTCGATAACGTTAACAGAAAGTGGCACATACTTTGGCAAACTTCGGGACATACTTCCGTATCTACTAAATTGACTTTGGACAACTTCAACATAGCACGCCTGTCATTCCTCGTTCTCGTTATCTGGCGTCAATTAAAAACACCGAGTGAAGCTGTCACCACCAGTGGTTTTCTGACCCTCTTTTCCCATCCCGGCGTCAAAGTCGTCAAGCGAGTTTTTATATCGTGAAGAGGCAGCGCTCAAAACTACGATCTGAAAGGTCCTAAAGGTCTTTGATCGTATCGGCTTTCTCTTCCCTCAGGCGTCGGAGCAAATAAGTGAGATGTTGAAAACCCTCGCTTTGATGTGTACTGTGGCGAAATGCTCGTTCGCCGGAGTTAAAAACAGTACTTGGCGACGAAGTCTCTCGCCTGTCACAAATCCAACACTGAATATGTGCTCATAATTATGACAATTGTAATAGAAGTCCACGTGTTTTTTTTTTTTTGTACAGCAGTGTTTCCGAGAACATTGAACTAGCCGGACAGAGGCACCTTCCTCATTAAGGCTAGTGAAACTTCAGGCGCAAGCTCACAAATCATAATCCTTTAAACGTCATCGTCGGCGGTCTCATCCTAGGCTTTATTTTACCTTGCTTTGAAAGGGGGTTTACTAAGGTCATTGCGTATCCTGACGACCTTCCTGCGGTTGGTTTCACAAAGATTACTTTGTACCCAGTCTAAGCTTTACAAATTGGTATACCAGAGCTACAGAAGTAAACGGATCACTCCATTTCTGCATTGATGATTGAAAACTAGAGAACGGGCATATGACTTACCAGTTGGAGCTGGAAAAATCATACCGCCTACCCGGCGTATTTCAAGCTGAAGCTGCATTCACAAAGTACGCGGTTGAACGCCTGACTCTGTCACATACATACAATTCAAAAACCATAGGGGTTTGTCGCACATCTCTAAACGAGATAGCTGAGCAGTCTGCTCTTCACTTAGTATGGGTGACGGAGCATGAGACCATATCAGGCAACGAGAAGCCGGAACGTCTGAAAGAACCGGTAAGCTCACTTTAAGGGACCTATCTCTTCAAAAACCAAGTGAAAAACGGTCGAAAGGTTTGCTAATGCTGGACAGAGGGGACTTCGCCACAGCCATGGCTCTGCCATTTGCCATCGGAAAGCACGCAGAGAGATTAGGGGCCCCCCACTTTGCGGCCCCTGCTATGCGAATGCTCCACAATCTCTGGAAGAAAATGAAAGTTAATTGGTTCGGAAATAGTCAAAGTAGGAAACGATGGTTTGAGTAGGAGAGTTCTCACGATCCGCTTTGTATAACAGAGAACGCAAGATTAAGGGCCTAGGTGTGCTTTAAATTAGTTCTCGAAGTAATGTGATAATTAAAATTTCCTTATCGTTAGATACTGCGATACAGAATAACGCAGAATTTAGTTTAGCGCTTTCCTACTGCTTTTGTAGTTGTTCTTAAATGTCTCTATACCAAGATTTTTGATTTGAGAAGCATAAGAAAACTACATGCATATATTAGAATTCTAATAAAAAATCAATTTTTTTCTCTAAAGTTAGTGGCTTTTTTTGCTGAATACCTACATTTTCTTAGCCTGCAGTGTGGTAACATCAGCGCCTAAATCTGTTGCTGGCGAATGAGACTCTGGGTGTACATATGCATTTCTCACGGCCAAAGCTCTACCCTTTGAACATTCAAATAATACATACATACTACTCACTCAAAGATAAATATTAACAAAAAAAACAGGTTTCTGGGTCATATTTTCTTTAGACTCATATTTTTAATTGCAAAAGTAAAAGTAGGTATGCTTATTAGCTACATAGTACATGTACAGTGGTTTTACAATTGAAAGCATCCTTTTTCATGCCACTTTAAATAAGTAAAGGAACCAAAAAAAGGAACAGTCCAGCGCCTTCGTCTTGGTCTGCAGGCTGTATCGGAGATACACCCGCTAAATTTAAACGTAGAATACGTGGTAAGAAAAAAATATCGATAACAAAAGCGATAATAAAATCGATAACAAAATCGATAAAAATATCGATAACAAAATCGTTAACTAAATCGATTACAAAATCGATAAAAAATCGATTACAAAATCTATCGAAAAATCGATTACAAAATCGATAACAAAATCGATTCCAAAGTCAATNTTACATACATACATTGAAAAGAATATTTTTCCAAACCATTTTCCTATTTTCCAGTCAGGCCAAGTGTTTTCCTCATTTTTGTTTGTGTTTTTTTTTTTTGCTGCAGTACACTTTTACACGCGCTTAATATTCTTTTAATTTATAATCAGGCAGCAAAAATGTTGCGGAAAAAATGTTGCAGCGCGAGCGCATTGCAAGCGGTAGGTAGCATGCGAAATTGGGTCAAGACACAGTTGCCACATTCACCAAGAATCGCTGCACTTACCGGCTCACTCATTCGCTGGCATGCTACTCACTTAACACTCATTCATGCGCGCGGTGGCAATCTGACGGCCTGCGCGCGGCTGGCAGGCAGCCTTTGGCTCACTGCACTACCCGGCCGGCCGCCAACTGCAGCGCTCAACTTAAGCTGACACACAAGACAATGCGGGCGCGCCTAAATGCCTGAATGTCTGCATGCCGAAGTGCCACAATGCCTGAATGCCAGTGGGTTGAGTATTCCCGGGGCATCTTTGCCGGCTTTGTGGCGCGCACTTTCCGCACCAGCAGTCGTGTGAATAATATTAATTAAAATTTTACACATTTTTTTTCCAGCATTAACACACATTTAAATCATGTTACCCCCTTATCAACCTCTTTTAAGTGATTGATTTTTTTTTGGTTTGTTTATTTAATATTCTTCTTATGCCATCTACCTTGTGGTCTTTCTCTCTTTGCAGTTTAGTTTAGTCTTAGCTGGTAATGAATTGTGGCCCATGGAACGGCCAGAGGGAATGCCAAACATAGTGTCTTTAGAAGTGATGTGCGGTAAGGATCACATGGATGTACATTTGACATTTTCACATCCATTCGAGGGCATCGTCAGTTCAAAAGGTAAAAAGAAATGATTAAAAGTATTGGCATGAGTATATACATATACATATTATATCGAATAACTGACATACATTTTTTTATTCTTACCATAGGGCAACACAGTGATCCGCGCTGCGTTTATGTGCCGCCATCGACGGGCAAAACGTTCTTTTCTTTTCGGATATCGTACTCACGTTGCGGCACGAAACCCGATTTGCATGGACAGTTTTATGAAAATACGGTGAGTTGAATTGTTGTGAAAAATAAAACAGAGTCAAAGGGTTGTGTGATGAGTGCCTTTTGCGCCCCAATTAGCACTTAGGATGTATTTACATGCAATGCAAATCAATAATAAGTCTTCGCAAAGACAGTCATGATTTGCGAAACATTGAAGTAAGGTCTTGAAAATCTCACACAGCGATAAGTAAGAGTCATATCGCCTATCATACTGATAAAAGAAGTTCATTAAAGTCTGCAAAAAAATCGAATGCCACTGGGGAGGCGCATGGTTCAATTTCTGGTCCAAGCAACATCAAAATAGGTTATTTTTTTCAAATAGCGGTCTCCCCTCGGCACACCATAGCATATAATAGCCATAAAAAAGCTTCTTCTCTAAATCTCTCCATTTTTGTCACAACATCTAGAAGGAGAACACGAATTGGAGGAGAATAGCTTTCAAAAACGTAGAAAACGTTTAAGCCATTTTTTGTAATCAAATATGATATAACTGTTTAGGGGTTCCCTACTACATCAAATTAACCCGCCAGGCGGCCGTTAAGGCTCTACTTTCATATGAAAGAAATTCGATCACCGTCGCGGACTATAAGGAGGCTATAAGAAGGCTAGCTGTGGCTAAAACCGTGTGGAAGGTAATGGGAGAACTGACGAGCATCCTCTTAGGCGCCTCACTAATGACGAATATACCAATTCCTCTTGAGGACATCAAAATATCTGCCAAGCGTTTAGGGTTGCAGACTTCCGAAAATTATCAGCCCAATTCTTCATACTTCCGGGGAATTCGTTCTCCGGAAATTTGTTTCTACCGAAAAAAAAATCTTCCAATAATTAACTTCCAGGGAGTAGCATTTTAGCCAAAAATTTGGGAGGAGGAAATTCGAACTTCGAAAAAGCCGTTTGAACTTTTTTGAGAGCTCAACTCCGCCATTTAATATAAAAAATCATCAAGGAATTTTTATTCATGATAGGAGGAAAGGGAAAAGAGAGAAAACCCCCAGAGAGTTTCTGTTCAGAATCGACCTGTATGTGTACTTTTTATGATAGTTACTGATTTGCTAATACCAACAAGAAGAACGAGACTCCTGATAGGATTGCTAACAAAGCATTGTTTGCTAAGAGAATAGATTTATAGGTCGTAAACGCTATGTGAGACATAGCATAACCTAACTTAACCTAATCTATGTGTTGGTTGTCCTTAAAGTGGAAAAAGTCTTGAAAACATCGAAAAACTCAAAACTGTTATTGAGAGGTCGAGATTTGTATGGAATGAAAAAACGGTTTGTGCGATAAAAAAATCCGGTTTATTTGATATTCGAAAAACCAAAATTTCAAAAAAAACCAAAACCTCTATAGACATAAAAAAACAATAGAAACCGGTTTGGAAAACCCGAGTCAATCACTCCAATTGTTATTAAGTACACGTAGGAAATGGTACAGTTACGTGTAAAACTGTTCACACAGAAAGCTTCTTCAAAAGCATTTTCAGCCTCTTGGCGGTGTTGTATCGACTGCTGAGTGGAATATCGACCTATCTTGGCAGCCAGTTCGAAAACGCCCTATCTCAAAAAACTTCTCAAGAACGCCCTATCTCAGAATTCGGTTCAAAAAGGCTCTATCTCAGCTGCCAATTCAAAACCGCCCTATCTCAGTAGATTTTCAGGTAAGAAACGGCATTTTTGTACCGAATTCTGAGATGGAGTGTTTATCAATGTAATTCTGAAAGAGGGCATTGTTGAAAAGTTTTTTTGAAATAGGGCGTTTTCCAACTGGCTGCCGAGATAAGTCGATCTTCCACTCAGCAGTCGATATAGTTAAAAGAAAATTTATTTTTCAGTAATTCATTCAAAGAAGTTTAATAAATATTTTAGCCTGTTTCTATTGAAGGAATAGCACAAGTGCAGCACATTATTCTATTGACAAAAATAAACAAATCGATTACATGATCATTACTGGGTAGCAGGGATTCTACTACACTTACAAGAGACTCTTCAACAGAAACCGGGAATAATATGCGGATATATAAGTGTACAAATCCTGCACTTTTTTTGTCCACTCTATGACGGCAATGCAGAGTTATCAGGTGTTGGTTGAGTGGTACCGATGACGAGGCACCGAATTCTGTTGTTGGAAATTAGCTAGCCGTTGCCATGGGATCGATCGCTAAAGACACCCGCACAAAAGCACCAGTGGTTTTGTCGACTGGTGCATAGATGGCCAGCATAGGCAGTTGGGTGGCAGGGCAAAATCTAGCAAACATGGAATACGAGTTTCAATCAAGGCACACAATCGCTAGCAAACATGCAGTGAGAATAGGGCTTCCCTTAAAAAAATTGGCTGAGCTGTGTGTCAATAGACCCTGATGAAAATATCCAGCATATTCTGCACAAATCTACTTATAAAGCCCAAGGCGCTGGTGAAGGTTGTAAAACATTAAATCGCAGGTTTATCGGCAGCCGCAAGTGGCGACTTCAGTTGGTTTAAACAAAAAACAGTTAATTCCCATAGGAAATGTATTAAAATTATGGTCAATTAAGCTACTTATTAATAAAAGCTGAAAACAGCCGACGCGTAAATCGCCCCTACCGTTTATGTAGTAATGTAAAAAGTCGCTCACTCTGTAATCAGCCTAGGGCCAATACAATTTGAAGAAAGTAAACGCACCAACTTCTTGCTATGATAATAAATACATAAACAGGACTGTGAATTATATGATAATAATGAAATATTTTTTTATCTATTCGTAGGTGGTTGTGCAATATGACAAAGATTTGCTGGAAGTCTGGGATGAAGCAAAGCGCTTGCGCTGCGAATGGTTCAATGACTACGAAAAGACCGCATCGAAACCACCAATGGTTATTGCCGATTTGGATGTCATACAACTGGATTTTCGTGGTGAGTTAAAGCAAATATTTCTAAAAAATAAAATAAATATTATTATATGCTGTTTAGGCAAAAAGCACAGATACAGAGGGTATGCATATCAAAATTTGCACACAAATTTTTTCCCATATTTTTTTGGGACAGTCTAATGTACATACATATGTACAAAGTTCGCTCAAACTACAATAAATAGAGCCGTAATTATGTAAATAATATCTGTGGTCATAAACAATAACCGCCTAAGTCGACTTAAGAAAAAATTTAGTTATATATGCTATCGTAAGTACTATTCCACGTGTATGTGAAATCCCCATCTAGCCAGCTGGGCTATTAACAAAGTTATAGACGAAAATATATTCTGGTTTCCCCATAAGGTTAACATTACAATCCAAATGTTTAAAATGTTTTTTGTTTCGAATTCAGGTTTTTCGACTTAGGCGGTTATTGCTTATGACCACAGATATGTATATCAAATTGTAAATATTAAAAGTTACACTTAACTTTACACACACCTTTTCACACCTTTCTCACCCAACATCATTTCTCTCTATCTCTCTTCAAGGTGATAATGTTGACTGCTGGATGGAGATACAGCATGGCAAAGGCCCATGGGCACCGCCAGTTAGCGGCATTGTGCCACTAGGTTCTACACTTACACTTGTGGTTGCCATCAACGATTATCGCGGTAAGTTACCATTAAATGTACGATCAGGCAAACAGTTAATAACAGGGACGATAAATGAGCAATAAAGTAGTAGGTATTTAATACGAGAAAGGCTTCCCGCATATATTCTTCTGTGTGCGTATAAGCGTACATACCCTGCAGCGGGTTCGGAGACAATTGTCGTTTTCGTACTAGTTACATTACTAGTTCCAATTGCCTGTTATGCTCCAGGTAATAATAAATCGAGCTATTGGTTACATATTGCACTTTCTAAAGGTTATTGGCCGTTTCCTTATAATAGTGCTCCCTTATTACATAAAGCATTTTGTTATTTATCATTTAAATACAAATAATAAATGTTGAATACTTATCTATGTTCTGTTTCCCTCGTGTGACCACCTAGCAAATATCGGACTGATAATTACCAAAATAAAGCAATACATATGTAGATACCCCTTTTTACATAACTACTATTTCTTAAATTATTTTGGGGGCAATTCACGTCAAATGTCCCAGCGCCCTGAGCGGTGCAAAACAAGCTACTTTTCGACTAGCTGCGAAGCAGACAGAAAATAGGAAAAATAATTCGAAAACTATGATTTCTATAGATTTTTATACGGGCTATGCGATGGCACTATGCGTTTTCCAAAATTTTCCCGTTTTCATGGTGAAAATTCTGAACGAAAATTTATTTGTAATTTTTCTGAACTATGGTAATTTTTAATATTGTTTTTAGTTATCTCAATCGAAAGATCAAGTCTTTTTACATATAAATCACTAATAAAAACGGACTTTTTTACTTTTCTGAGTTATAAAGGCTTTTAGAGCGCAGCGCGCTAATCTGCTAACCGTGTGAGTCATAATAATATTGTTATAACTTTGCAACTACTTGATGTTTAATTTTGAAACTTTCGCAAAAACTTCCCTACATAGTCATCTACAACACTGTTTTAAAACAAAAAATTTATTTCAAATTTTATAACACAACTTTTGCATTTGAAAACAAACACCCTCTTAATTCTCATAAAAAAGTTATAAACGTGTAGTTTTATTTGTAGTAAGTATTAAGAAGTGGTGTTAAACTTAAATTCTTTGGAATAGTTTGTAGTTTATTGTGTGAAAATTTCAAATCGATCGATACACAAACGACTGAGATATAGCGCGTTTAAATGACAATTTTGTTAAAATTATCAAGAATCAGTTCAGCCCAATAATAAAATTTCAAACAACGTCACGCTGCAGCTTTCGTATGTTCGATCACAGGAAAATAAATAGCAAAGACAATAGCAAAGACAAATTTAAATTTGAACAAATCGTCGCCTGGCTTGATTCAAAGCGAACATTTGAAAGCACACTTGCACGTTGTGCCTGTAGCTGAGTGCGCAAAGATGCTGGCTGAATTAGTTGCGGCCGAAAGTGTTCGAGTTCAAATCTCACTATACAGAAGAACATACAATTTAAAATCTTTACTTTCGTTTTTTTTAATTTTAAAAAAGTATCTGTGAAGTGCACAACGAAAAAAAGTGGTTCGGTTACAGGTTACATGTTACTACTACAAGTACTAGTGAAAAGTTACGCAGCGGGAGTCAATTGTCACCTCCTAGGACAACTCCATGTTAAATGCGACAGTGGAAAGCATGGCTGGTAGATTTGCAAGGTACCGGTATTCGACTCCCGAAAACTGGTTAACTCACTAGTTCTGGACTAGTATTTCCGCTGCAGGGTACTTACAAAAGTGCATATGGCACAGTGAAGGTATGTGGCCACCGACATCAAGCGCTCCATCACCATTGTGCCTCAATCATATGCGTATGTACATAATTCGCATTCTCATTATATACTATATGCAGTAGGAAGTTTACTTACATAAGCACACAAACATATGTACATACATATCACAGCCAATGCCTGTGGCGCCGAGTTGTCTACAATTAATGAGTGGATTTCACGGCGCTTTCATGTGGTTTTTTTTTCTCTTTTCTGTGTTGCATATAAGTATAGAGACTCTCCAGGTGGCTGTTAATAAGTGGTGTGCCAGAAATTGTGTGGCATGAACGGAAGTATAATCATGTTTCAAGCTAACAAACAATGCCACAAGCGAATAGCGCACGCACGAAAAGAAAGCAATACATACGTAGTAATAAATGATGTGTAAATCGGTGGCTATTCAGTGAGCTTTTATATGAAAGCGTTTTTACTACCACATATTAAATTTTCAAATGTATCATTAAATATCACTATCATAATGGACAAAACAGACAGTTCAAAAATTTGATATTGGTAAGCAAAATTACATCTCCAGTGCACGATTGGGACTCCCTGTACGGTGAGCTTATGCTTCTAGGGAGGCTCTGAAAAGAGTCCCAAAGAGGCATATCCGCCGGTGAAAAGTGCCTTCTCAATACATATTAAAAAAGTGTGCCTTGGGACTCCACAAATGAGTGATTTTGGCGATGAGAGATATGTCTATTCGGCCGTCGAGCTTAACTTTGCAATTTGCAATCTCAGAATATTTTGAACTTTTTTACCGGTGAGGCAAGTAAGTGCCAGAAGTGCCGCTTGGCTATCTGAGAAAATGTATGCTTTACGTACTTATATGCAGTTGGTTTCTAGTACTTTCCTGGCCCTCTCAATTCCCAGCACTTCCTTTTGGTAGATGCTAGCAAAGTTCAGTTGGCGGAACGAGAGAGAGGCATTCAGTATCTGAGGAACACCCCCGCACCTACACCGCAGTTTATTTTGGACCCGTCAGTATAGTTTTCTCCACCGCTATACAGTACAGCATTATCTTATCAGTTAAGTGTTGGCCAGGAAGCGACTAGAACGACGCCTTTCTCCATTTTAAAGGCGTGCAAGCGTCTGTGCCTTTCTGCGCATGAGAAAACAGGCATAATTAAAGTGACGCAGAAATTATGTGTCCATATGGAGGGGACAATATGTATATGAGCAGAAAGATACTGGTAGCCAACTGAGTGCCGTCTCTGAGCTGACTGTTTGCAGACAACCTCAGAAAAGAACGTTAGAATGAATCAGTACAACGGAATCCAACTTCAGGGTCTGTCTGTCTATTAGAGATCAGTTTCGTTGCAAAAAAAAAAAATATTAATTAGAACGAGAGATCCACCATTCTTCCTAAAGACGGACCGACATCTCATTACGATGCTCGATCGACCTATGCCAAAAGTTCTGGTCAAACAACACAGTGGCCAACAAGGGAAGAAACGAGTCAAGTACGGGTCGCTGGCGCGGCAATGAAACGGAGAAAGCTGACTAGGCGCGCATGAAGAAATTGAGAATCCCGAAATTCAGGGCCTTCTTCGAATCGCCCATGGAGTTGCTGGTGTGCCTTTCGTTGACAGAATCAAACCATGCGGATTTTAACATAGCAACTTATTGGAAATTATGGAAACTCGGACTATGGAAATGAAGACATTGAGGAATATATGGTAATAGGACGTCAAAGTCCTCGCTTGCAAAGATAAGAATACCTCGGATTTTCTTTGACTGGAAGCGCAGCTTTGAGTTATTTCTGCCTCAAAGCTATCAGTACCAATCATTCCTTAAAGACGACTAGACAACAAAACACTTTTCGTGCTTCTAACCGACCTTCGCAAGGATTAGAAATGAGAATTTTAAGGGTGATACAAAGGACGTTAAGTACTTCTGTAATCTACGTGCTATTTTCTTCACACGTTGTTTCTATTAGTATTGACAAAAGAAGATCTTTAGCAACTTGGATCTTAAGATTCTGATAATTAAACAACCAGGCAAGACATGCACACATAACCGGCTTAGAAGAAATTTTTATTTTAAAACTCGAAAATGTATAATTTATTTGGTAAACTAAAGGCACTTTTCTTAAGTTCGAAGATTTCAAAATGCAAACTTTATAATTTTCGTGGTTTCCATTTTTTTAAATAAAAATTTCCAAAGACTACAAGAATTTATTGAAACGATTATCTGTTATGGTAAAAAGCCTACAATTGAACGACCGAACGTGGAGGTCTCGGCTTCACTTAACCCAAAAAAGGCGCGTGAGGCGCTGATGGAATCGAGCCATTCTGATTTAAAGTTGACAGAAGATACGCTAGGCTAGGCAAAGCTGAATTTGGACGACTTGGAAGAGAATTTATTGGCGGTATTGGGCGATTTGAATTGGAATTCGATGCTGGTATGGAATTATTTTCTGCGTTGCTTGACAATTGTGGTGGCGTTGGAAATTCCTGAGGTCGGCTGGAAATTTGTGGCGGTGTTGGAAAACTTTCAATGGAACTTGGTGTTTGGGGAGCTTGTGGTGGTTGAGGAGCTTGTGGTGATTGTGCCAGTATAGAGTTGGACTCACCAGCTGGATACGATACGCTCTGGCTATTAGAGATGGGCAACACAGGCTGAACAGCCGCGCTTATCGATGAGCTTGGTGGTCTCGGACGATTTTGATTCGTAGGCAATGGGGATAAAATCGATGCTGGTGCATCTTGATTTACTGGAAATTCAGGAAACACACCAATTTGGTTTTGAAGCGGTGGCGATGGAGGAGACAATGGTTGATTGTTGTTAGTATTAACAGCTTCAAAATCAATTGGAATTAGTGGCCCCTCTTGGCTGCCTTGAGTTTGTTTTTCAAGAAATGGAGGTTCGACTGGAAAATCTAGAACTGAGCCAACACTATTTTCATTTGGCGGTTGCGCAACGACAAACTGTGACTCGGTATCTGTGTTAACGGGAGAATTTACTTCGAACTCAGCTGGGGTATTTGCTGCTTCCACGGAGTTCGGAATGTTGCCAGTTACAGCTACATTGTTGTCATTATTGTTATTATTTTTGTTGGTAAGAAGCCGTGAAAGAAGGTCCCTTATGGCAACATAGGAAGCGAAGTCAAGCCTTGGATATTCAAATTCATTAGCACTACTCGCTGACGAACCCAATTGGTAGCATTCTGCTAAGCAGATGCTGCTTAATATAAACAAAAGTGAAACCTTCATGTTAGACCACGCCAGCTACCCGTTGCAATGCACTAAGCGATACTGACTCTAAACAGGCATGCGCTGATCTTTTAAATATCTGTGGGTAAATAGTTGATTAGACATGTTATAGCAGACAATTACCAATAATCAGTGGCACATTACAAGTCTTTAAAATTTACATACATTCATAGATACGAAAGAGTATACCAATTTCCGGTGATAAGATAACAATTTTGACACCTTTTTTTGTATTTATAATTTGCAACTGTTCTTCACATTCATTAGTCATACAAAAAAGTGTTGTTCTTTGAAAACCGGTGTACTTTTTTTTTTGCATCCGTACCAAATAAAAAACTTACATTTCTTAATTTAAATTTATTGTGCTCCAAAATTTTCTCTTTTTCTAAACCAAACCTTTTCTCTTCTCCACTCATTCTTGTAGGTGAATTCGATATGCGCGTCAAGTCGTGTGTCGCTTCAGATGGTTCCGGTCATGTTATCAATCTCTCCGATGAATTCGGCTGCGTACTACGCCCGAAAATGATCTCACGCTTTCTGAAGGCGCGCGCGCCCGATGAGCGCGCCACCGTCATAACCTATGCCTTCTTCCATGCCTTCAAATTCCCCGATGCGCTGAGCGTGCACATTAAATGCAAGGTAGAAATTTGCCGCCATGGCTGTCTGGATCACTGTCAGCTCACCGGCAGCGTTAACGAGCGCAAGGATGTGCTTATGAACGACGCTTTGGGTAACCAGAACGAACTAAGTCAAGAGATGGGACATGGCATACATGGCGGCGGGCAACAACCGGCACTGGGCGGCATGCCTTTGGGTGGTGGTGGCGGTGGCGGTGGTGGTGGCGGTGGCGGCGGTGGCGTTGGTGTTGGTATGGGCGGTGATGGCGCAATCGATCACGATATCTTCTACGATGACATCATACACAATCGCAAACAGCTGTCATCGATCAACAGCGGCATTGCCAACATACTCGATCAGTTTAATTTGCATGAAAAGAATGCCAATGCCAATCTCTCGCCGCGTCCGGTACACGAAGAGCCTGAAGATTCCGATCTGGATTCGCTGTTCGGCGAAGACGAATTAGCCGATTTGGATGAAGCTCAATATATGGAATTGAAGAAGAGCGGCAAATTCCCACATGGACCACGTCAATTGGAGGCGCAAAAGCGCATGGGTGTGCCCATGGCCGGGCCACGTTCGCTAGAACCGAAATCCAATGATGATGCGACACATCCCATTTATCGTCCTCAAGCGGAAGCACTGAAGCGGCCACGCGAAGATCACATTGACCTCGATGAGGCAAACGATGAGCTGCTCAAGCATAAGTCGAATCACACTGAGCAAGGTAGTGACGAAACGAAGTCGACACGTCGTCGACGACGATCGATCGTCATTTCCGATCGCAAGGTGCGCAGCGCGGACGTAGGTGTTAGCGGTCTGTACGATGTCATCTCGGAAGCTGATCTTGCCTTCTCGCCAGATTCGAAACAGGAAGCGGTCACCGTATTTCAGGGCAAAATAAGTGAGGAGGTGGTATATGGCATTTGCATGCCGGTGCCTGGCTTCAGCATACTCTTCATTGTCGTCATTTCGGCAACAATTGTATCTGCGCTAATCGCCGGTTCATTGCTCTATCGTTATCAGCTGCAAAAGGAGGCGCTCGAAAAGCAAACTCCAATACCGGCGCCTGGTACATTCGCCTCTTGGATGACTCTACGACTTTTCCGTATGCGACATTTGCAGGAACAACACGAACGACAGCAAATTAGTGCTGGCACAGTTGCGGCAGCAGCAGCCGCAGCGGGGACGGTAGCGGTGGCGCACGAAACCGTGCAGTAGAGAGTTGCGATGTAGCGAAATTGTCGGAGTTGGAGATAAGTATCGGGAACTGTCTAAATGAGGTCAACTAGACGTTTATTACAGAAGTTCTTATAGAAAATTCAAAATTAGGGCTACGCAAATATTTACAAAATACATAGATATGCGCTGATGGCCGTTTCCGGATCAATACGTCAACTTAGACTGAAAGAAAACACACGAAGAAAAAAGCGGAGAAAAGCTCAAAGACAGACGCCTATATTGAGTACTATTTTGTAGTATTGTTTTTTTTTTATTTTTTAACTGGTTTTTTGCTTTTTTTTTTTATTCTACTTGGTTATAGACGAAGTTAATGTTGTTAAGAAACATTTTCGGGCAGCACTGCAATAGCAAATCACTGAACTACTATTTACATAGTACATACATACATACATACATACATACATACATACATACGCTCCTTAAGTACACTCATTTAAAGACGTTCTACAAATATTCGATTAATTCAGCTTCTACTCGCTCGCACTTCCTTTTTTCCAATACAGATAGTAAGTGCATACATAATTCGGTGCTCTTAGGTGCATTTACTTTCCTTTTAGTATAAAGTTATTATTTGTTAAATAAAAAAAAATAAAACTTAAACCAATTCTTATATAATTCTTAAACAAAAACATGCTTATACACAAACATATGTATGTATTTATTTTAGCACTATTTATTGTATTTATTTATATATGCTTATTTCCTATACAGATCTTCACATTCTATAAAGAACATAAATCTTCTTTAATGAATATTTCTAAGCTGATTAATAATTGTAAGCACATAATTCTAAAACTTTTGCAATTTAAGAAATTTGAATGCAATATTTTTTTGTTAACTTCAAAATCTTAATTTAGGTTAGCATCTAAAGGCAAATGAAGAGTGTGAATTTAAAGTCAAAATTTAGTTTGTTTTCATCTTTTGTTTAATCGACACTAATGAAAGTTCAACACACATGAAAATTTAAATTAACACATAAGTCAGTTTATATTATTTATTTAAAATTATTTTAGTTGTAATTGAATACTATGATTATGACGAGAATGAACAAAATAATAAAATTAAGTTATAAATAAAATAAAAATAATTAAAAAAAAGCAGCCGTGACTTTCAATCCTTTACGCATTTTTTGAGTTAAAAGGTTTTGAAATGACAAAAAAACCTAAACTTAATATTGGATCGTAGATTATTGATCTGTATACCGTTTTTCCAGATGAGGTCATTTTCTTCAAGATATCTCCATTTTTATAAAGAAAAAATTTAAACTTTAACAAGGAAAAAATGAAAAAAATAACAAATCTCTTGATTTTTTTTTATTTGTATTAAAAGCTGTTATATTACAAAAAAAAAAATCAAGCTACTAACAATGAAAATCGATGGATAAATAAACTAGTAGTGAATGGTCAAAATAAAATGTGCAATGGTTTTTTTATGAAATACGAGCAAGATATACATATATGCATATGTTGATCATACGCTATACTGCATATGGTCCTACTCGTCAGTGGTGCCACTAGAGATTATTATTAGGTACCAAAAAGCCTACCAAATCAGTTTTCAAACTACCAAAAATTTTTTCATCATTAAAACGAGATTTTATGGAATTTACGGGTTTAAATTTAAAGCAATTTTTCTTTCAAGATGATGGGCAATTTTCAAAGCAAATTTCGAAAAAAAATTGTCGATCGCAGCTTTGAGAAGTGAGTTTATGTTCTCGGAAAATTGTGTGTTTTAAGATTTAAAAAAGAGCTTAACAAAGATTATGGGTAAGCATTCATGAAAACATTTTCTACGTTGAGGAAAGCAACTAACGTATTTCTTTTCGCCCTCCACGGGCGTTGTCCTGTTATTGCGAGTGGTTTGTACCAGTGTTGCCATTTTGGTGCTTTTGGGGCGAGATTTAGCTCTTTTTGATTTAAATTGCCTCAGAAATTTGATTTTAGCACCTAGCTCTCTTTTTAAACCTTTTAAATTTAAAACAGCCTTTCGAGGCTCCAAAAATCTAAAAAAAACTAGTTTTCTTAGTTACTGCTGTTTGTTTGGGCAAACACATTTTCAACTGAAAGAGTGTTTGTAGTAAAAATTGAAATTGGCCGCCTTTATTAAATTTCTCAAAAGTTTAACATTTTCTTTCCGATCTGGCCGTTCTTATACTTCATAATTTCATTATAAAATTGTCCTTATTCCTAGCTTTTTTTAGTAATTTTTTTTTACAAAATTTATCAACTAAAAGGAATGAACAAAAATGAACAATTTTCGAAAAAACATGAAAATTTCCTTATGTTTCGAATTTATACGCCTGGAACTAAAAAAGACTATTCCAATTGACACAAAAAATATATCAAAGCAATGAGGCTAAATATATCTTTTGAAAGGTGTGCAAAGATGATTAGTTGTCATCTAAAACAATTTTCTTGGGAAATAATTCAATGTGTTCAGCACTTTTATTTCATGTTTAGCGACCCAAATTAGTCTAAAAAAATATTTTTTTTTTGCGAGGTCCTTTTTTCGTGTAAACTAGTATAATTAATGAACTCGTAATGTATCTGCATATTTTTTTGTTTTCTTTTTCGAGTATGAAGCTCAGAACTTTTGTTTACCTGTACCCGCCTGTGTACCTAAACAAATAAATTTTCGGAAATTCATTCTAAAATAAACAAAAAAAAATATGTTTAATTGAAGAGTAATGAAACTAGCTCTTTTTTAGCTCTATTTTTTGTATTTAGTCCTTTCTAGCACTCTTTTCTGAAGATTCCGGCCCTAAATGGATTAAATTTCTGGTAATACTGGTCTGTACAGGGTTGGATTACACGCCCAGCCTAAATTCATACTACGTTTTACTCGTAAGTATGAAGTGCTGCCCATCATGGTAGCAATTATGATCCTAAAACCATACTACGTTCTAAGTTTATACCGGGGCACTGCATTATCGATATACATATTTGCTGCTAGTTGCAAAGCAGTGCAGTTTCCTCGCCAACCGAACGACCGTCCCTTGGTATTTACATACCATGATTCAATAATACAAGGTTAGATAATTATTGACAGCTGCGGTTTGACACTCCCTTACAAAAGGTTGCATTTACGAAGGACAGAGAAAGGGCAAGAATGCAATCCCTTGTT